AACCGGGAGGTTCGGGCCACCCATCCCCGGTGACCCTAAATCAATAAAATGATGCTTTCATTTAATGTCCTCTTCAATAAGTTTTATTTTTGTCGCGCAAGGTCGAAAATTTAAGTACAAATTGCATTCGAAGAAAACAAAAACATTTGTCTTATTTCATGGAACGTGATTGAGTTTACCGAAATTAATATTTTATTGTATTGTATTGCATTGTATTACACATCATGAAGCACTTTCACACAGTTATGTGGCTATTCCGTGCCTCGTTGTCAAGATGCTTAAACGAATGATCATTGTGGTTATCTACAAGCACGCGCACGGACACACACAATCACACACACGCATACACGCAAGTTTTGCAGTCATACGCAGGTAAGATATGCGAGCTCAAATGACCAGCCAGATTCTCTACATTTCTAGCCTATTCCACTCCATTGCCTCCCTAGCAGATGTAGCCGCAGCTCCTTTTTGAACTGGGCTCCTGTTCGGCATCGTATCGTGGCTGGTAAATCGTTGTATGCGACGACCATATGGTGTGTGATCTCCATGAAGTAACCTGTTGGAAGCTTATACGGTACCTGGGCTCAAAGAGCGCTCAAGGGAAGATAGATCCCAGCCACGAGTATTGTGCTCAATGTCGAGAATAGAATGCAAGACATGACACCCAAGATTACTTTACTACATGACACCGGCCCATACCTCCCGGGGCATGGCCCATACCTCCCGGTATATTCTGATGGGTCGAAAAAGCGCATGATTTATTAAAAGTTATCTAGAGACAAAGCTGTTAATCCCAAGATCAGACACACTACAGACGAAAGGCAATTTCACGTACACATAGTGAAAAACCAGGTCCAGCCACTGCCCACTGGAAGAAAATTGCCATTTTACAAAACCGGCCCATGCCTCGGCCGGGTCTCCCCCACCCTCGAACTGCGTGTGGGGACCGCGAACTGGAATCCACCACCGGCGGAACGGGACCAGCGCGACCTTCGGCGTGAGATAGCGCGCTCAAGCCTCAAATCCTATATCGGACCTAATTCGTTTTTGGCTCATAACCAAATCAAACCTAGCCCTACCTAGCCTAACCCCGCCTAACCTCACCTAACCTAACGCTAAACTAGCCCAACCTAACCTAAAGCCAGCCCAACCTTACACCAACTTCTCACATAACACATTAGGTAAGGTCCGATGGCCAGATAAGTGAAAGGTATGTGCTGGGTTAGGCTAGTCCGCGCCGTGCTGGTGGTCTGAGTCTTCCGTGGTGTGTTTGGGGGAGGGGCGTTTTTACGCCCCCCCCCGTCTAACTCGACTCCGGGGCCATGCAGCGATACGCGGTAGGCGGCAATCGAAAGAGCGTCAAAAATAATGAAGAACATACCTAGGTCATTTTTTAGGTTAGGGCAAAGGTCAGGTCGCCAGAGGTCGTCACAGTTCAAATTTTGCCTATTTCAACAATTTTCGAAACACCGGCGCATAACTCAGGAACTAATAGAGCTACAGCGCCGCGGGATAGCGCATTCGATAGCCCCTTTAGCCCTCTTTCTGGAATATGTCTCAGATTTGACCTCAGGTCAACGGTTTAGGCTCCAGAGGGCAGAAACTGAAAAATGGCCGTTTTTACAAAAAAAAGTTTTATCAATAACTAGATTTAATAACAGATTCAATAATAGATTCGAGAGACTCGCAGGGGCGGATCTAGGATTTCGATAGGGTGGGGGCAGTCAAGCACAGGGGCGGCACATTTTCCGCCTACGGGGGGCGGCATTAGCCTGTCCCAAAAGTACCAACGCCATTGAAACCGTAGAGACACATGTTCCCTTGAGTCCCTAACAACAGAACATGAAACCAAGAAAAAATGAGAACGAACGAGTCAGTTTTAGGGGTCGCGCCGGATAACGCTTCATGTTGTTCTGGGTTGTTGCGAATTATCTACTGGGAGTTAGTGAACTGGATCACAACTGAATGCAAAGTGAGTCACTTCTCTGCCACCAATTACTTGCCTAGGCCTAACAGAAACTCAGAACACATTCTTGGCAAGGTCAGCCTTCTTCTCGCGGCCCACCACCTGACGATGGCGGTGGACCAGTTTGAGCATGGGTGCTGCTTCTGCTGTCCATCTCGTGTGATGGAGTTGTTGAAGTTCTCGATGAGGGCGATGTGGTGTCGTGATACCGGCCCTCCCCCCCCCCCCCCCCCGGAAGCGGAGCTGAGCGCGCCCGAAAGCACCCAACTACACGATTCCGCCATAGGGTCCAATGTAAACAACCACAGTCCTTGACTGGCTCAATGGCGGCGCAGTTCACGTATGCCGCAGAGGCAGCTGTCCCTTCTATGTAGTCTTTATTTCTATGCCAAACCGGTATTTGCAGGCCATGGCCACCAATTTGGCTATCTCAGCTCAAAACTAATGTTAACCCTCGCGGGCACGGGGGGGGGGCGTTTTTCGCCCCCCTGGTGAATATTTGCGATAGCTCCCGAACACTTAGGGATAGGAAAGCGAAACTTTCAGTACCTTTTTTCCCATCAATTTGACATCTTTTGAAGTAAAAAATTTGGACCTAGCCCCATTGATGACGTCACAAGGTCCATTTTTCTAGACCCCTGCACGGCAAACTTCGGCGTCACCAACGCAAACTTCAAATAGCTGCTAAAAATATAGTTTTAGAGATAAAGACAAATTACGAGCACGGTTGTGTAGCGTCTGACCTAGAGAAAAATAGAAAAATAGTTTTGGTGACCCGAGGTCAGAGGTCAGGTCAATGACCCCGAAATGTGGTTTTAGTTTTTCGCAAATAACTTCGACAAAAAAGGTCCTAGAGCTACGGCAATGGTACCATCGCATTCGCCTTGTCAAGCCGCGTCGAATGATAAATATTTTGTTCGGAAAAGGTCAAGTTTTATGTTGACCTCATGTGACCTCGAATGACCTCTGGTTGACCTTGACACATGAGAGGTCATTTATGATGGATTTGTACCCGCTGATCACGAATCTGGCATCTATTTTCCTATAAGCCTTCATTTAGAGCTTCTGGACGGCAAAATTATCTTATTTATTATTACTAACTTGAATCAGTGAAATAGCCTCTAGCAGGGATACTCTTCTGTGACCTTGACCTTTGAGCAGCCTTGTATCGTAAGATGAACCACAAATACCCAGTAAACATGCCGACGTCGGCCCGACGTCGGCCGACGTCGGGGTGACGTCGGCAACTCGGCATCGGCATGCCGACGTCGGCCCGACGTCGGTCCAACCTCGGCACGACGTTGGCTGGATGTCGGATATGCCCGCATGTACCGACGTCCAGCCGATGTCCAGCCGACGTCGGGCCGACGTCGGACCGAGATCAATTGCTGAGGTCCAGCCGACGTCGGGCCGACGTCGGGGCGACGTCGGACCGAAATCGGCCGCTGTTTTGACCGTTAAAATAATATAAAATACATGTTTCATGTTTCATAAAGAGTATTCAAAATATCCTCAGGAAACTCAAATCTTCCTCCACGCCGCAACCCCCTGATCCGGACTGGACGGGAAACTTTATCCCATTTGGGATTACCCGTAAGCCGAGCTCGCCCGTAGCCGGGTGTGGTGAGTGCTTGGGGGCTGCTCGGCCTATCCTTTGGTCAGGCTCAGCCCCGGCAACTCACCAGGGCCGGGCCCAGTTCATATAGAAAGGCCAGTCGGCAAGTGTCACTTTGCCAAAGTGCCACTTATCAAAGGGACACTTTGGGAAACGTTGATGCAGGTATGTAAGAGTGGCTTTATGAATCCATTGTGGGGTCGCCCTTTCCAATAAGTGCCACGTAACAGCAATGGGACCAGGGACTCTATATGAACTGGACCCAGGGTGCTCGCCAAGAAGACCAATGTCTCCATCCTATCATCCTTCCGGCTCTGAAATGGTCTTGTCAGACCGAAAGGGCATAACACAACAAAACAAACCAAGTTTGCTATCTGGCTGCGTGGTGTAGTGGTTAGCGCACTAGCCTCGCGTTCAAATGACACGGGGTTCGAATCCCATCGCCGGGTGATGCTTTTGGCGCGTTGTCCCAGTAAACATGCCGACGTCGGCGACTGGGGGGCTCGAATCCCACCGCCGGTTGATATTTTTGGCGCGTTGTTCCAATAAACATGCCGACGTCGGCCCCGTCGGTCCAACGACAAACGATCTCGTCAACCTCGGCAAACGACCTCGGCCCGACGTCGGCTCGACGTCGGTTGGACTTCGGCTGGACGTCGGAACATGCGGGCATATCCGACGTCCAGCCGATGTCGGGCCGAGGTTGAACCGACGCTGGGCCGACGTCGGGCCGAGCCTCGGCCCGACGTAGGGCCGACGTCGGCATGTTTACTGGGTAGGGAACTGATAAGCCTCAAAACATTTCAAAACATCTTGGAAGCTAGCACGCAAGATGTGCGAAAAAGTGCCAAGTTTAAGGTCAATTTTGAGCATGACCTTGACCTTGACATTTAATTTTAAGCACATTTTCGGAATTCTCAGATTCTCTTCTTTCGTTTGACACTCAATTTTGCCGGTTTGATGCAGCCTGCCGTCCTCTAGAAGGCTTACTTTGAGATCACTACACATGTGCCGGTTTTTGCCTTTGACCTTGACCTCTGACCTTGAAAATTGACTTGAGGTCAGAAATTTTAGGTGCTTTAGAATCGTCTCGTAAGGACCTTTCGCTTGGTATCGCTTTTGTTTCCGTAGCTCCCTTATTTACGGAGTTAGACAGGGGGGGCGAAAAACGCCCCCCCCCCGGGCTGCGGTGGTTGGGATTACCCCCCGGGCCCGGCCGGGTTAAGGTGGGATGGTCACTTTAAGTAAGCTTTTCAAAAATGCTATCTTGAAGCTTGAAGCTGCCTTTTCTCTGATAAAGGGAAAACTTCAAATTTGGCGGGAACAACAAATCAACTATCACAACACTCTAGCGACGATTCCAGCGCAAGCGGCCTTGGCGCAATCGTAGTGCTGTTCACGGGCACCTGCGGTAGCTGCGGTAGCTGCGGCTCGGCGGTCAGCCGGGTAATGACGTCACAGAAAGTGGGGATGGGGCGGGTGGTGTGACGTCATACGGCTGCGGCCGGCTGCGGTCGCCTGCGTCTCCTGCGGTCGAAACGATCCGACCGCAGCGGCCGCAGGAGCCATTTGTCATGCAAAGTGGCGCGGCAGTTGCGCATTCGTGTAACTTGGGCGGAAAATTGACACGGCCGCCTCAGACCAACCTCAGACGAACGCGTGATGACGTGCGCACAAGTGGGCGGGACTTACAGCCTGCGATCTACCGCAGCTACCGCAGTTACCGCAGGTGTCCGTGAACAGCACTGTGTGTCAGTGTGCCTCACTGAATTCTATCACGGTATATAGAGAAATAATTCTATAATTGGTACGTACTGATGTATGTTTTTTTTTGTAAATAATTTCTGGTTTATTAGTTCCCTATATCGTAGAGCCAAAGGAATAGCATGTAGAGCAACCATGTAGAAAAAAACTTTGGTTCTGCCCTGAGAAAATTGTGTCAGCCCCTGACTGACGACTGTGTGGTTTGCTAATAAATTGTGAATTTATTCCCCCACATTTCGTCACAGTCAAGCCTTGCTATGTTTTGCAGGCTCGAGTTAAAACAGCCCTAAAAATAACCTAAAAGGCAGCCTCTAATAAGTTTAAATTTTGGGACAGAATCGGGGACAGAATCACTTCCGTGCCTCCGTGGTCCGCCAAATTTCAGTGCACGAATCCTGGTCCGTGAGGCGTCTGGCATAGTGTATGGATTTTTCAAGTCTGGTCACCAGCCTGCACCAACCAAGCTGGAAATCCACACCAGCTTGCACCAAACAGGACCTAGAACTTTTGTTACAGAATGAGAATTACCTAGTAATTTTGGTCAGAGAGGCCAGCATAACCTAGCTGCTGTGCTGTGACGAGATAAAGGGTTTGTTCCCGTCACTCCTCTAGCCTCCTCCAAGCTCCTCTAACCTCCTCTCGTTTCAAAAAATCGTTCCCGTCGCTCCTCCAAGCTCCTCCAAGCTCATCTTGATTTCACATCTCACCACCACTATTTGCCTCCTCCCTCATCCCAAACGAAAGTTGGTTTTTTGGAGGAGGCTCTTGCGTAGACATATTTGGCGCACGTAATACAAATGTGAATTGTTTATAAATGAGATTTGAGGGAAGTGGAAATGATTTTAGTGATTGATGACGATTGGATATCTTAAATAGTAATGTTTGATATTAATCTAAGGTTATTTTATTAGAAAGCGATTATTATCTCTTGATTTATGTTTGCGCGCCATAAATCGCCGACCGTTACACCCCGCAAACAGCTGATTTCCTCGCGAAAATGTTCCCGTGGCTCCTCTGAAACGGCTCTCCTCCAAGCTCATCCAACCTCATCCGAGATTTTTTGGGAGGAGCGACGGGAACAGACCCAAAGACAAAAGCCAAAACTGCTTACAACTTACAAGGTCAATTCTTCCTGGCTGACACTGTTGTGTATCCTACACTCTCATGCATCTTTTTCAGACAATGCAGTGCCAACTCAAACTGCCAGCACAGCAGCAGCACTGTTATTGCAATGGCCACTGCTCTTCTAATATTGAGGACCTCACTACTGCAAATTCACACCACTTTACATCAGAAGAGTGCATTTGCAGTCTGCATCAACAATATCTTGTTGACAATTGTGATTTTTATACTTTGCAGTCTTGGCGAAGGATCGTTGATTCAGTCACGATGCTGAGCACTGTTAAGTTATAATATAATTTTTATCAGCATGCTGCCAGTTTATCCATACATGGAAGGTCACTTGCTCACATTGCTTTATGCTTAGCCATTTCTTCATTCATTTCACTGGTCCATTGTTAATCCAACCAATGAGAAGCAAAAAATGCATTGAGCTGCAAGGTAGCACCCTGCAAATATAATATAGTGAACAAACAGTGCCCTAAACCAGTGATAGACAAACTGGCAAATGACAATGAACCATTGCATACATCATAACTGAAACAGTCGATACCCTAACCCAACTAACCTGGAGGCTACCATACCTTCCAGCTAAAAACTAAGATGCTTAGGAATAATAAATCAGCTGCCACTGAATTCCAAGTCAGGAGATATGTACATGATGCACTGGCATTGTAGCATCAGGGATTCACTTACCCTGATGCTACAATGCCAGTGAGTGAATTATGCACTGGGTCTGTAGTCTGTGGCCTTAAAGGAAACAGTTCACTTTCCTGAAATTAGTATTTTGCTATGGATTTATGATTTGTTATGCTCAAAATGATCAGAAAATAAAATAAAACCTTTTTGTAAAAACAATTATTTTCTATATTTTAATATAGGACGAACTATATTATATGTAAAATAATGTTTGACGCGGAAGCTTATTACGCGTGGACCAATCATATTGTGTAGTTCAAACCTACGCATGCTGCATTGGCTGTAAGCAGCATGCTGATTGGCTGACGATGACGTGGCTGCATTCCTGTGTGTGCAAGGCACACATTCCTCTGCAAGGCACTCTTTTCGGAACGAGAAATGGAATATCTTCGTCTAGGGTGATCGTTGAGCCGTAAGAGCTCCTGATTTGTGCTAGTCTCAGCTCAAGCTACGAAACTGCTATTCCAGTTCAAAACCCCATGTTAAAAGTGAACTATTTCCTTTAAATGGCCAGTTGGTTTAGATGGCCATTGGCCAACTTGTACTGGTTCAGTTGTTTATTGTTCAACTAGGGCAGTTGTCCACTGGTTCAGGCCACTGGCTCAGTTGCCACTGTTTCATTTGTTTACTGGTCCTTTGTTGTCTTACCAAAATGAAAGGAAATTAAAACTTGTTTAATTGTTTCTTTGCAAAAAAAGAGAGCAACCAAGGCTCTCAGCTAATTGCTAGGCTCCCTGATTCAACCATCTTGAACTCCATCAAATGATTTGGTAGCAATGGCAGCACTTCTCATCCATGTTTTTTTTTTCAGTGAATGTCAACAGAGCTCCAAACAACCCAATACTCATAGTTACACAAATCAGTCTTCAGGGCTGGATGCCTGTCTGTTGCCTGTCATCAACAGGCTAATCACCAACAGCAGGCCATGGATGGGGTATTGCTAATTCTCTTCCTACTAATCCTCTTCCTAATCCTCAATCTTGTGGTGTTTCTAATCCATGCTCTGGCTGCCAATGAGACGGTTGAGACCTCTTTTCTGAAGTGGTACCCTCACTAAATCACCTGTGCTTATTGTCTGCTTGCAGATCAAAGATGGCTCAGAGCTGGCTGAACCCCAAGGATACAGCTAAGATAATCTGCATTGAATATCCAGCAGTTGTGAAGGATGAAGATAAAGCTATTAATTGTCTAGGTGGTATAGACACCATAAATAAGGTGAGCTATATGCAACTAAATTTATACCTTATGTCTTACGTAAATGGAATAGGTTTGTTTGGGATGAATGAGGTAGGTTAATGGGATTTTTCTTTGTGATGGAATCTTTAGATGTTATTTATTGACTGGTGTTCAGGCCTAATGCCTTTCTTTAATCTGCAATGAACATTGCTATAAGAACACACATTGTATTACCTATTGATAAATACTTATCCCAAGCTTTGGTGTTGTGACTGGTAATAGGCGGCTCATTTTCTTGACTGCTATCTGATTCACACGCAGGTAATTGAAGATCCAAGCAACAGGCGACTGGAGTTGCGCTTCCGTCCAGACGATGTGTTCAGCAAGCCCACCTGCACAGAGCCCAAAGACATGCAGGGTGAGCTGATTAGACAGAAAGCTGCGGTGTAACAGAACAGTGGCCTGGAGCTTCAGTTTTATTGTTCATCTCAATCATGTTAGGATGGTGGTCAATGGATGCATTATTGTCATACAGTTCTAGCTCAGTTGCTCAAGAGATCATACGAGTATGGTATTAGAAACAGCTGAGCTAATAAGCTTGCTGATGCTCTTTGCATGGTCGGTGCTGTCTGCAACATGCTAGCCCAATGAGCTCATGCATTTTGCAGGTTTGCTGTTGAAGGTAAAACGCCGGAAAAAGAAGAACTCCGCAGAACCGCCCGTCTACAGTACGGAGCTACTCGGTGTCTGTACGAAGGTGTTTAAGTTCACAAGTGAGTTACATCCTGGCATGTTTATGCGTTGGATATTTTGCTAACTTCTTTCAGCTTTTCACGGATGCAGTACCTATTTACTTACCTCACATAACTATCAACAACTATCAACTCACAACTATCAACCGCCAGGCATAGGTTTTTATTTCTATGAACATACTTTTTGATTTTTTTTTCGCGAAAGTCCAACGAATACCTAAACCTCGTCTACTTTTTATAGTTACCAGTTATGCAGTGTTCAGTGTTGACGTTCCGATTGTCTGTCTCCCTAGCCGGCCTCGGTCGAGCCACCTCCGATGACACCGACTCCCCCCCCCCCTCTGGCGGCAGACATGTGTGACTTCCAGTTCCTGCCACTGGACCACCAGGGCCGCTCCATGTACGACGACATTGTGCCGAGCTCGTGCATGGACACGGCCTATCCGGACCGGCCGGCTGCCCTGTTCATCCCGCCGGTGGCCTTCTCACGAGTGGATACTCCGCAGGTATGGAACTAAAGGGTGCCTGTGCGGAAGACATCTAGAGGGTATTTGTATGGGAGGTCCCGCCAGTCACCAGGTATACGAGTATGTAGATGGTTGCGTGGAAGGTCTCGTAAGCTTGGGTATAATGTTGTGGAAGCCGGGACTTGGATAATCTTGTGTACTTGTATGATCAGTCGTGCAGGCGTGTGTGTTTGTGCGAAAGGTCCTCTACCCCACCTAGTTCCGATGTCTGCCGGCGCTGCTGTCTACAGAACTACTGCTACCGGCGACCACCTACCAACCGACTGCTGAACGGACCTCTGCCGGAGGGACGGAAGCGGCGACGGTTCGGCGCGCAGGCCGTCTCACATCTGCAGGAGAAGATGCCCAGCGAGCCACTGGTCGACCGGGCCAGCTTCGAGGCGCGCGTCCAGCTGCGCGGCCTGGCCTCCGACCTGGCAGAGCTGAAAAAGGTGGGTCCCAGACCCGGAGGCTGGGTGGGGTGGGGTTAGGTTCAGTCCCAGACTCAGAGGCTGGGTGGGGTGCGGTAAAGCTCGGTCAGATGTGGTCAGGCCGGGCCATAGATGGCGCTGTGTGGTGGGTGGGGTAGGTCCGAGAGGACGCTGAAGGATGGAGGGCTCCCAACGATGTTGGCACGATGTTGGCGATTCCTTGGTGACCTAGATTTGCAAGGTAAGGTCGTGGTGGAGACGACCGGGGGGGGGGGGGGATTTGTGCCATGGTTTTAGAAATAACGGGTACTCGGATGCCATTCCTATGCCGCGAGAGAAGGGGCTTACAAATTGCTCCCCATTGCGATTTTGAGACCTTCGACACTATTTTAAATGCTCTTGAAGCTCGTACGAAAGATATGCGACAAATTTGTCATGAATGGCGTTGCTCCTGAACTTTCACACATAGTTATTTGTGGATGAGTACCCTAATACGCATTTTTGGAGGCTTTCTTTTCGACGAATACTCCAGATAGCTCATCCAGTAAATGCGCAACACAAACGGCCTATTGCATCAGCCGCAATTTCTTTTACCCATAATAAGAATTTAACTTGCATACATTTTATGCATATGTATGATGATTATGTATTTTCGTTTTTTTTATATATGGGGTAATTGAATGTCCTGCATTGTCTCACATAAAGGCGTATCTTGTGGTCATATGCTATGAAACAGCCGCAGACACAAGCTCCTGGAAAATGGCATCCGCTTTTCCGAACCGTTGTCCGCTTTATGTTGCAGTTAAAACGACTAAGATGGATAACCACATGCTTAGGAAATGCAGATTTTATGTGACTCAAGACCGTTCCTTATTTGTTCCAGTTGGCGGTCTGTAAGATTGCCTTTTTCGTGATGCCAATAAAGTTTAAAATTTTCTTTTCATCGAATGTTGATGTAACGTTGAGAACATTTTCACGTGTCACGGCTCGCCTCCCAACCACATTAATGCACAAACGGAGCTCTACTCGTATAGCCTTGGCACTAACAATTATTAGGAGTTGACGTGAGTCCGAGCCTTGCGAAATAAAGATAGTAACGTTGGATGCCAGCGTTTCGGAAGTTTTTTCTTTCTTTTAATGGGATCGTGATTACCAGTACTGCTGCTGATTCGCACAAGTCACCCGTCCGCTGGAACAATTTAATGAAAGGGCTGAAGCATTTGCATATACCGTAACGTATCATCGGGACAAGTCTGAGGAGCTACGGATGCAAGAATGACGCTACAAATGGTATGCTAGAGCTACCATAAATCAAGTGTTTGTATTTCCTGTCGTGAATCATCAAATTGTGTGATAAGCTTTTATATCGTAGGTTGGAGCATGCTGAATCATAACTAATAGGCTTGGAAAATAAGTAACAACTAACAACCATGCATGCTGACTCGGCATGTTCATTTACGATTGATGGTGTTGAAAACTCCAGAGTGGCGGATCCATGTGAGCGGTATTTACGCCCTTAAAGCTCGATGCGTCGGGCCTGGCAGAGGTCCAAGATGAGAAAAGCCACCCTGCGCACACCCTAGGGATGAATTTAAAACTCCGTGGGCTCTGGCTGGTTTCATAGGTAAAATAATGTTTTGAGACCGATACCAATTTATTCTGCGTTTATTTCTGATCCTATCGCATCAATTTCGCCACAAATTATGTCCGTCAATGACTTCTAGAGGACTTTAAAGCTCGAGGCGTCGCGCCTGGTAGAGGTCCAAGATGAGAAAAGCCACCCTGGGCACACCCTAGGGATGAATCTAAAACTCCGCGGGCTCTGGCTGGTTTCATAGGCAAAATAATGCTTTGAGACCGATACTAATTTATTCTGCGTTCTTTTCTGATCATATTATATCAATTTCACCACAAATTATTTACGTTATTAGTTTTTAGATGTCTTTAAAACTCGAGGCGTCGGGTCGGGCAGGGGTTCGAGATGACTGACACGCCACCCTGGCACACCCTAGGGATGAATATGAAACTCTGGGACTCTGACAGGTTTCATACGCGAAATGAGGTTATAAGACCGGTAATGATGTATTTTACGTTAATTTCTCATGCCTTTGCAATAATCTTACCGCCAATTATTCACTTCAATTAGTTTCTAGAGGTTTTTAAACACGAAGCGTTCGGCCGAGGGAAAGCCAAGATGAGTGAAAGGATACCTTGGCACACATCTAGGGATAAATTTAAGATACGGTATTCCCAGCTCTGCCCAATACATGTTCTGAAGCTGGTAGATGGGATTAAGAAGGCCCTAGCTTTTTAATAAATTATCCCTCGCCCGTATAGGGGGGGGGGGAGGGTCGAACGAACCACCCCCTTGTTTTTTTTTCGAGAATAACTCGCGTAAAAAGCGGCCGATCGCGACGAAACTTTCAGGACCCTCGAGTCAATTAATTGGACACCTACTCTGAAAATCTCATATTCCTGACCTAATGACCTTTGACCTGTGACCTATTTCTTGAGGCCATGTTTGGCCGGAATCGCGATTCGGCGAGCCGCTAATGCGTTCCGTTCCGTTCACTCCCGTCCGTTCCGTTTCGGGTGTTCTGGTCAGTTGTGCTCTCGCTTTCCCTTCCGCTTGGGGTGTCCTGATCAGCGATGCCCTCCGTTCCGTTGCAGTTGCTCTGATCAGTGATCACTGATGCCCTCCGTTCTGTTGCGGGTGCTCTGATCACTGATCACTGATCATTGACGCTCTCACTAGCACTTACCACGTGACATGATACGAAGCTACCGCTCCGTTTCGGTGGCCGGCCATGAGGTCGGTGGCATCCTGTTATCATTTTTTTTTTGCATCCCGTTCCGTTCCGATACGGATGCCCTGGTTACTGGTTAGTTGCACGTTTTTTTATTGCGATGTTGCGTATTATGCTGCGCAGTGCACATCGTTCCGTTTGGGGTGCCCTAATCAGTGACCCTTTTTCTAGTCTCATGTAGTGCACCGTTCCTTTCGAAGAGTTGCGCTGAAACCGTTTCCATTTTCACTATGCGTAATGAGTACCGACTATCGCTGGCCGTTCCGGCGTTCGGGCCGGGAGATTTCCGGCGTATGTCATGCTGCATAGTGCGACTGCAATTGCATACTCAATACTGCGTCCCGTTCCGTATGCTCAGAGCAAAGGCACCATTTCCAGTATCATCCGGCCATTGTCATATCTGTTGAAAATGGAAAGCTCAAAGCTATACTGTGTACACTGTACGAATATTACCAGATCAGATGCGAACGAAAACTACATACTTATATTGCCGCATATTATCTCAAATATACAGTAATCTTGGAAGCGGTGCTGCCATATTGTAGGCGCAAAACGTCCCAGAGGCCAGAACACATGAGTTATACGGTTTCTGGTTTCATAGCGATCAGTTACGTCAACAAACTGCCCATCAGGGTATCATGATTACCTAAGATTTTCTGACAGTGTCACAGTGATGACCACGCCTCACGCATTACACAGTCTGAGTCAACTGCACTAAATCAATAATATAGGAACCGAATGATGCCCTTTGCAACGGCAATGACAGGTTCCTTCCCACTTCCTTTGCTTAAAAAAGAAAGAAAACTTCTCCACATGGCACTAGTACCAAAGCCTGCATATAGGGAGAGCTCTCTCAACCGCCCCTCCCCCACCCTCCTTAAGATATGACAACAGATTTCAACAGAATCATTGTATCTTCTGCTCTTTAGGAGAAATATACAGGCAGAAGGACCGTCCTGGATCCGTGCCAGTAAGCATGAGTAGGGACTTAGCAGATGCTGACGGTATTATCTGCTGTCTGCATCTGAAACGGAAAGGAAGGCATTGATTTAAGGCTAGGAGAAGGATTGCCATTCAATTGTGACAATGCATTTTGACTTGTGAGGAAAATGAAATCTCACTGGTTGAAGTAGGTATTCATTCTTTGCTGTATAAGAGACAAGGGTGATTCTTAATTCATTAGTCTCAATCAAACACAAATGTTGGTATAAAATGGGACGGATTTAGAAACACTTGGCGATCAGATGTTAAAGTTATAATTCTGCCGTAGATCATCCTTACCTATTTGCATCGTCTTTTTCGGTTAGTTTTGGTGGTCAGGAATGGTATGTACTATGTTCTCTTATTATCAGCCAGCGTAGCGTTACGCATTTATTGCGAAAGTGATATAGGTTTTCACTTGCTTTTTTCTCATCCTAGATTTTTTGGTCATCATCGTCACACCCAACCAAAATCCAATTTTAGAACACTGATGTAGGTACTGATAGCACTGAGTACCGAGTGGCAGGTACTGATGCCAGTGCCTTTTTAGGTTTTTTTTTTGCTTGGATTCTGCCAGAATGCTCTTTTGTGTATAGGTCAAGGTAGTGTTGGAAACTTGGGCTTGTGGTTTAAATACACGCTGTCTTTTGGGTGATTTTTTTTTAACTCGCTAAGGTAGGTAATGTTGTCATACGCTCGGCAAAAGTGAGCAAAAAGGCCGGAAATCATAAATTTTTAATGAATTTTTTTGCTGGGCCCAAGTTGCCATACTAGCATACAACATTGGCCACTTGCATTTTCAAGAAAAAAATATGTATGCAGTGTTGCAGCACACACGAATTTGTCATTTTCGAAAAGCCAAGGGTGGGCTCTTTCTAGGCCCTGTTGCTTAACATTGTAGGGGAAGGTGGGGTAAGACGGACCAGCTAAGGTTTGAGGCCGCATATCTTGCTACACTGCTCTCGTAATTCATATTATTTATAGTCTTCGGAATGCTCAATCCTTCCTCTGTTGATATGTGTAAAGACTAAATTTCAAATTAAAGACATCTAGGTGGTGGATGCTCTTAAAGAGGGACATGTCAAAAACTCAGACAAGAAAAAACGTGGGGTAAGACGGACCACTCAGCAGTGCCTGCTATCCGTTCATGTGTGTTACACTTCTGCTCTGTACTCTTGTAAGAAAAAGCAACCAGAATGGTAAAATAACAAAATGAGCCTTTATTCTTTACTCATGTGTGATGGAAGTGCAGCTAAAAACTGGGAACATGTGTGTTGATTGTCGTTTGGCATGAATGCATGCTAACTGAGCACTTTCATGCATGGCTCACATGCAACAAAGACTCCTTCCTGAAAAATTAGCTTACTTTAACTTGTGTCAATGTTTTGGAAAAAAAAACTTTCCATATGCAGGGTACAATGGACCACCACAGGGTAAGATGGATCACAGTGGTCCGTCTTGCCCCAAATCTAAATTCTGTCATTATCATGACGTATATATCAAATAGCCCAGCATTGCAAAACCTTGCCTTTCCTAAAGTGTGATTATTTTTTTTTTTTCTAAGCCGCCACCCATGATCAGGTGACCAGGAGTGCCCCCTCCCTCTATCCCAGCGACACACAGAACCTTACGTTAACACCAGAATAACTTAAAATTTCAAGTCGCGGCACTCCCAGCTAGGAAATGAAAGAAACATAAAAAAGCAGTAAAGAGAGAGTCCATGGTTAATATGAATGAATAAGAAGCAAAGTAGTCGACACTGTAAACAGTGGTGACTGCCCTCTACTGAAAGCCCATCCTCATTCACTCACTCACATTCGTAACATTCATACACAGCATCCAATACGAGAAAAAGGCATAATCGCTGGGGAAGGTTGGTTAGGGGGTTCTCTCATCAAAGGCAAGATCATCATCATAATACTCTGGTCTAGGCATGCATGTGGGTCCGTTAGCCCAGACACTCGGAGCACCCCACGAAGCAAGGCTTGTTGTCGGGCGCTCCAAGTGCCCGGGCAGGCAGGGTGACATTTAGCAAAACACTAAAAATGAGTAAAATACACATACTGCATATTACACATATACCGGACGGATACATACACCTATGTATGCCTACACAAGCATACATACACATTACACATACAACTGTCACATACAGGCATATCAGCGTTTGGTAGGTACCTATGGTTGAAGTACCTATCTTTGAATTATAAGATGTATCAAGCTAAATTAATCAGTATTGATTGATATAATGATTTTTAACTAGCTTTTTTATTGTGCTTTTGGCAAATGGCACAGACTGAACGTGAGGAAAGATCGAGGTCATGACATTGTTCCACACTCTAGGACCTGTCCATGACAAAGTATGAGTTTTATATTTTTTGAAAGTGAATATTTCTTCGAAGTGTTTTACATTACGAATGTTTCTGAGTGAAGGATGAAATCTAAACAATTGGTCGAATCCATGTGGTAAATTGTTGCATATTTTTCTATGCAGGATAAGTATCATTTGCTGATGTGCCACATCCTTAATTTTAAGGAGTTTTAGTTTTTTGAAAATTGGATCCGTATGAGCCATCATTGGCTGCCCATCTATAATTCTGACAACTCTCTTTTGAATTTTTTCAATTTTGGATAGAGTTGAAGTATAAGTATTGCTATATATATAGCAACAATAATTGACATATGACAAAAATAGAGAATTGTAGAGTAATAATAAGTGTTCAGTGTTTAAAAAGTACCTCACTTTGGTAATGATACCAACATTTCTACACAATGTAGTGTATAGCTTATTTATATGAGTATTCCACTTAAAATCGCCATCAATAAACATTCCAAGGTATTTAACACTTTTAGAGCTTTTTATCTCTACTCCATTTAGTTTCAATCTTATTTCTTGTCTATCTCTTTTGTTTGAATATATCTGATAAGAAGTTTTATCAGTATTTATCGAGAGTTGGTTAGCAGAAAACCATTCTGATATTTTGGGCATAATTGTGTCCACAGTATCTTGTAATTTTGCCATATCTTTACATTCCATAAAGGCTGCGGTATCATCTGCATACAAATATGCATTGAACTCCTTGCTTATGTTTGGAAAATCATTTATATAAAGGATAAACAGAAGAGGCCCCAGAATAGATCCCTGAGGGACTCCCATATCAATTGGCAATGTGTTTGATCTGACACCGTTAATCTGTACACATTGGGATCGATCACTCAAGCATGATACTATCATATCATATGCTTTACTTTTGATTCCATAACATTTGATTTTGTTTAATAAAACATTAATATTAACTGTGTCAAATGCTTTCCGAATATCCAAATAGAGTCCGCACACAATATTATTTGCTTCAAATGCATTTGTAATCCTTTCCTGGATGAGTGATATGGGCATGTGTGTGCCCATACCTTTCCTAAATCCAAATTGATTTATATTAAGTATGCTGTTTGTTGTTAAGTGATCATCCAGTCGTTTGTGTATAAGCTTTTCCAATAATTTGGAAATAACAGGTAGAAGTGATATTGGCCGATAGTTATTAAACTGTTGTTTATTACCTGTCTTAAGAATTGGCTTCACAATGGCAAGTTTCAAAAGCTTAGGAAAAGTGCTTTCCTGCAGACAAAGATTCATAAAATGAACAATTTCTAACATGATGGAGGAATAGGTGGCTCTAAATATTTTTGTATTTAGTTTATCATGCCCTCCACCTACCATATTCATGTTATTGACTATACCTGTTATTTCTTCATCATTGGTAAGGGGTAATGAGTTCAAGTTGTTACCCGTAAATTGGGGTATATATTGCAAGGGATCTACATCATTATGATGTATTTTATTTCTTAATTCTTTTCCAACATTTGTAAAGAAGGTATTGAACCCATCAGCAATTTGCTGAGGTCCTTCAAGATTTCCATCAGAAGTATGGAAGGTGTTTGGCAGGTCTGACCTGGCAGATGGTCCTTTGGTCAGGTCCCTTAGAATATCCCAAGTTTTCTTAAGGTCTGCATTTTGAAGCTGGCTTTTTATGTACATCTTTTTTGCTTCCCTTAAAATGTTGTTAAGGGTATTTCTATACTTGTTGTATATTGCTATATTTTCTCGACTTGGATGTTTGTTCTTTTGTAGAAATAGTATGTTTTTTTCTATTAATGGAAGCTAGAATACCTGGACTGATCCATGGCTTGATGGGGGTATTTTTTCTTGTGGGTCTATAGGTAACACTATACCTATCTATCCCTGTTGTATATGCTTCTAAAAGGGTTTCACAAGCTGTGTCTGGATCTGTTATATTGGTGAAGTCTCGTAATGTAGTCTGGAGGTATGATTTAAAATCAATGATCTTCCTATAGTCAAAAGATCGTATTTCTTTCCTTTGTTTCTGTTTTTCTGATGCATGAATGTTGAGTGTCAGGTAAATGGGAAAATGATCTGAAAGGTCATCATAAATGATGCCAGCGCTGTTGGCATTATCTATATTGTTACAATATATGTTGTCGAGCAGGGAACATTTTTTATCTCCCTCTCTCGTTGTCATGCATATTGAAGGTAGAAATCCATACGATGTAAAGATATTAAAAAATTCATGAGTAGATTCATCATTGTCAGTTTCAAAAAGGTCAAAGTTGAAGTCACCAGTGACAAGGCATGTACAGCGAGTTTGAGTTCTTGAGAGTGATTCTAATACATTATAACTATGTTTATAACTTTGTTCTTCACAGTAAAGTGCAAAATAGAAACTAATCATGCAAGAAAGGCGCCGTAATTGAATCACCCGTAGACCTCTTATATTAGATCGGTTTGACGAAAAACAACATTTTTCTCAATAACTCAAAAGCTATGCGTCCTATCAGCATGAGCTCAAGGTGGCCATTGTTACGAAGAAAAACAAACATAGTGAGTGCATAAAGCAGTAGATACCGGCAGCGGTTCAGCCGGGAGGGCTGGTGGTCCGTCTTGCCCCGCTGGGCCGTCTTACCCCACCTTCCCCTACCTAAACAGATGACTGAATTATTGAGGCTTAACGAAAAAAGTGGGTCAAAGTTGCACGAAACTGCGGTATTGCTGTTAGTGAACACCTTTTCTGTTCTGTAGTTTTGAGTTTGTAATCTTGAAGAATAATTAGCTATAAAATATATAAAAATCGTACATCATTGGCTTTCAGAGTCCCGTAATATAGATCAATTCTAAGGAGATGAAATCTCTTGCTGACCACAAGACTGTTTCTAGTTTGCATTAATATGTAGGCATCAGTACAATTAATTTGAGTGCCTACTCACTTCGGGCTTATTCTAGTAACAACGTAAGTATGTTTAGTACCTACGTTGTTCGACGTCCTATTTTGCAATGGATATACGAACAGATTACTCATGACCGGAAACTCTAGTTAGTCTCTCGGCGAAGTTAGCTTTGCAATATTTGGCAAGGAGGATGATGCGTAAAAAACATGAAAAGCATGAAATCGCATTCTGCTCTCACGAAGTGTCCTGATGCTTTAATCTTAACGCCAGCTTTCAAACGGTGACCCCAGCAAAAACAGGGCTCGGCGACTTTGGGGCCGTCGACCCCAGGTCGGCCCTGCCCATGCAGCTCACTATGTAGCTTACGGGTGACCTGTAACGTGTTTATTGGATATCATCTACCTCTCCTGAGATGTCGGATTCCTTGGTTTTTGCTGCCGACTCATACCAGCAATTAGTTCTGGTCAGCAGGAGATGCACGAACCCTCATTATCACGCACCGACTTGGCTCAGCATCTTTTGACGATGGTTCAGGCGTGGCTGGACGGTGAAAGTTTCACTTTTTATGTGTTCGCTTTTCAAATTTCACCGGTTGCTGTTCATTGGATCTCTCTGTACGCTTTAATTACACCCGCATCGGACATTGAAATCAGTTGAGTGCTGAGACTGGGATGATATACAGACTAAAGGAGGCAGAATACGCCGTCCTGTCCGCCAGTGTCGGCCACGTGAACCACACATTCATTGCTGAGCGGCGAGGCGCCGCGTCCCGACTGACGTGGCCTCGCCGTGTGACGCCAGCTGTTCGAGGAGCGTCCGGTCATGTCGCGGGCCTACATCTACTACAAGATGGGCGGCCTCAAGGACCGCTTCAAGTGTCTGCTGCCGCTGGTGGCCTACTACTTCAACACGGGCCCATGGCGCAACATGTGGGCGCGCCTGGGGTACGACCCGCGCACGGACCCGGCCGCGTGGCGGTACCAGATCATCGACTACCGCACTCGGAGCGCAGGTCAGTCGGCGCCCGGAACAGCGCGGGATGGGCTGGGGAAGGTGATTACAAAGCCAGACTAACTTTCATAGTTTGTAATTGCTCCACTTATACTGTCTCAATTTGGTGTGAATGCCTTGTGTCTCGTTTTGGGGAGATATGAGACTGAATGGAATGTGACTGCATTTTAAGTCGTCATTGTTCTGCTTACTCGTTTTGGTAGCGAGTATCCGAGCTTTCTCGCCGGTAGAATGTTCGTCAATTCACAAACAAAATGGTACATCATATCCCGCTTGCTGACGGGGATGCATTATTAACCCGCGCCCGGCTGGGGGTCCTGGATTTCCACGCCCTGCTGGGGGGTGTTTGAACACCCCCCCCCCTTGTAACTCGGCTCCTGGGCCACGTAGCGATACGCGGAAGGCGGCGTTCGAAAGAGCGTCAAAAATAATGACGAAATCACTTCGGTCATTTTTTTGGTCAGGTCAAAGGTCAGGTCACCAGAGGTCATTGAAGGCAAAATTTCGCCGATTTCCAGGTCGAATGTCGAAAATTTCCAAGAAGCCAACGCATAACTCGGGAACCAATAGAGTTACAGCGCCGCGGAAAAGTGCATTCGATAGCCCTATTAACGCCCTTTCTGAGTAATTCCCTCAGATTTGACCTAACGTCAACGGTTTTGCCTGCAGGGGGCAACAACTGCAAAAATAGCCGATTTTTTCGGAAACAGTTTTCTGCAATAACTTTGACCCAAGCCTTGTATGAGCTTACTTTCACCGGCATCGTGTTCCTCTCGTCAAGACGCATCGAATGAACTATAACTTGACCTTGAAGGGTCAACTTGAAAATTTGACCTCAGGTCAAGGTCATGACCTGACCGAAAAGGGTCATGTTGCATATCAATCGATCCGTATCGTCGAGCGGAACACATGCAAGGCGTTTTCATCGCT